CCTACTCAAATTAAGAGTAAAAACATTTAATTTAAGAAATCTTTACCTATTTCTAGATTATTTTTGCAGTGTGATCAGATGGATGGGCGTGATCAGATGGATGGGCGTTTGTGAGGATGGATAAAAACATTTATCACCATATAACAGCCCTGGGATTTCATACTCAGCACTCTAAGAAAGTTGTTTTGTTTTCCATTTGCATACATTGGTAAGGTTGCAGCAGTTTCAATTCCACATTATGACCCCTTCCTCAGAAATACAGTCAAACCAATTAGTACAATTCACGCTATTAAATGATTGTTAGATGTTAAGAATGAAAAAATGAAGAGATTTCTCTGAACCAAGCAACCATGTTTTTCTAAAAACACTAACAACTTTCAACAACAAAAAAATATATTTAATTAAAATAGAGAAAAAATAGATGCAATATGTGGTAATAAAACACTAAGACCTTAAGCCATTTAAACATACCTCCAGTGTTGATGCTCTGGAGTCTGTGGTTTCACTTGGGCCTATGCTTCTGGGTATGCTGGATACAAAATATCCTGCTCCTTTGGGAATGATGGGTTGTCTCACCACCACTTTCCCCTTTCTGGTTTCAGCGAGGAACAAGCTATACCAGTAGGCATCACTGGAGATCAGGGTGGAATCTGCAATAGTGGAGCTTCTCTGGCTGATCAAGCTGTTTCTGTTGGCTGGGGGCATCTTGATGGCCTTTGGTTTTGGTTTTTGACATTTCAGGACAATGATAACCAAGATGGTTATCAGCAGCAGAAAGGACACAGCTCCTAGACCAATAACGAGGTACAGGTTTAGGTTTGTGAAGACTTCATACTCTAATGGTAACTCTGTTGTCTCTAAGAAGGTCATGGAATGCTCCACTGTTGATATCTTAATAGTAACAGTAGCAGACAGAGCAGGTTGTCCATTGTCTTTTGCTATAACCACCAGTCTCTGCTGTCTTGGGTCTCTATAGCTGAACATCCTTGTTGTTCGGATCTCACCATTGTACTGATCCAGGCTAAAGAGAGTCGAGTCACTGATCTGCAGCAACTGGTATGTGACCCTGGCATTCTGCTCAGAGTCTGCATCAATGGCAACCACTTTGGTCACCAAGTGTCCTTTCTCTGTGGACCTAGGTATGACCTCCTCAACCACAGAGCCATGTCCCCGCCATGGTGATACAATGATGGGATTGTTATCATTTTGGTCCAGAATGACTATATGAACTGTCACGTTGCTGCTTAGTGGAGGAACACCAGAGTCTCTAGCTTCAATGTGGAACAGGAACTCCTTTTCTCTCTCATAGTCAAAGGTCTTCAGGCCATAAAGATCTCCGTTCTCAGGGTTGATAGAGAAAAGCATGGACATAGACATGTTTACTATTTCTTTTTCCATTATAAAATAAACTAAGTATTGGTTTTCATTCAAATCTGGGTCATGTGCACTTAAAGATGTCAACAACGCACCAGGTGGATTATTCTCCATAACATGGATTGTATAGAAGGACTGAGAGAACATGGGTGCATTGTCATTGACATCCAGAATCTCTAAAGTGATGGTTTCATTTTCAGTTAAGGCTGGAGAACCTCTGTCTGTCACTAAAAGTTTGATATCATATCTGCCTTTGACCTCTCTGTCCAGCGGCCTTGACACCAGCAGCTCAAAGTAACCCTCTGAGGATTTGTTTAAAAGAAAGGGTAAGGCTTCCTGTTGGTTCAGGGTAAGGTCCACATCCCCGTTGTCTCCAGAATCTCTATCACTGACACTAACCACAGCAATCAGAGTCCCTACAGATACATCTTCAGTCACTGATCTCTTCAGGGATTTGATGATCACTTCTGGGTGGTTATCATTCAGGTCCGTAACATAAACCATCACTTTACAATGTCCTGACAGCTGGTTTGCCCCTCTGTCCTGAGCCTGAACGTGCATCTCAAAACTTTGATTCTCTTCATAATCAATCACCCCCTTCACTCTGATCTCACCTGACTTTGGATCCAGGGAGAAGAGCTCCTGTGTCTTTTCTGATGTGTAAAGAGTGTAGGAGTATACCAAGTCAGCGTTTGCGCCTCCATCTAAATCAGTTGCGTTTAAGGTCATCACCACCGTCCCTACAGGAGAATTCTCTGAAACATTGACAGCAAAGACGGGCTGACTGAAAGTGGGGGCATTATCGTTGATATCTAGAACATTAATGATTATGCTGGCTGTGCCGGAGCGAGGAGGCACTCCCCCATCCACTGCAGTTAAAATCAAATTATGAATTGCATCCTCCTCTCTGTCCAGTTTAGCACTGAGCACCAGATCCACATATTTGGACCCATCGCTGCCAGTCTGGATGTTAATGCTAAAGTATTTACTTTCACTCAGATAGTAGGTCTTGACTGAATTCGCCCCCACATCCGCATCCACCGCGTTTGTCAGGGAGAACCTCTCGCCGGCAGGGGTTGCCTCTGAAACGTCCAAATGCATCGTCTTCCTCCGGAAAACGGGCGCGTTGTCATTGATGTCCAAGATCTCCAGCTCAATGTTGAAAATGCGAACGGGATTAGAGAGGATGACATCCATTTTCAGGAAGCAGGAGGTCGTTTTGGTCGTGCATATGCTCTCCCGGTCCATTCTTTCGCGGATGATCAGCTCCCCCGTGTCTTTGTTGATGTCCAGGTAATTTTTGCTGTGAATGACATCGAGCTTCGCGTTGCGCTCCAGCAAACTGCGAACATCCAGACCGAGATCTGTGGCTAGATTGGCGACAAAGGAACCCTCTTCCATTTCCTCCGGTATGGAGTAGCGGGTGATGGAGAGCGCAAAACCCCACAGCGCAACGAACGTGATAAATGCCAAGAGCGGATGTGTCCGTGAAGGTTCATAATTAAGCGCCATTGTGATCAGTAATAAAAAGATTGGTTTGACAAATATGTCCTTACGAGCGGGTTGTCTTCATGCAAAGGAGCGCCAAAGACATTCTAGTTTCCACGAGTTGTAGGAGCCGCAGCAGCAGCAGGCCATCTGAGGTGTGGAGCAGCTGAAGGAGCGGGGTGCGCTCTGACAGCACAGGCAGGGGCGTAACACAGAACCCGGGGGTTGAGGGGCCGTCCATGACGATTTTAAAATGTGCCCCCCCCCCCCCCCCCCCAAAAAAAAAAAAAAAAAATCGGCTTTTTCTTAAATTAATTATATTTGAAAATAAGTGTTTATATCTTTAAACATAATTAACTGCAAAAACAGTGAGATATAAATGGTTATTTAGATTCCTCCAGTCCAATAATGGAGCACAAAAATACATAAATGAATATCAATGTTTTTTTGTTTTGTCTTGCAAAGAAAAAAAAGTAAAAAAAATGAACAAAAAAAGCACTTTTGAAAACAACAAAAGCACTAGATGAACCAGGAAAAAAGATATGAAGAATCATGTAGGCCATAAGACAGTAATCATTAACAGTAAACTTTGTGTATCCCATGGAGCACTATTAAATCCGTAATCTGAAATGCAAAGAAAACCTATTACCAAAAGTGAGAGGCAAGCCATATATGTCAGCGAAGTAGCCAAAAGGCTCGTTGTTACTGTGAAGGAGCTGTTAACATGCAAAGCTAAGCTTTGAGAATCTGTTTATATTTACAGTTGTGTTTAAAAATGTAACATTTAAAATAAATCAAAAATAAAATAACAAATCAAAATTATGACACTAATTTTGAAAAAAAAAAACCCATATAAACAAAACATACAAAAAAAAAACACACACACATATATATATATATATACAATAATAAAAGAAGTAAACAAGTCTGATGCACTACAATTTTGTTGAGAAATCAGGCATTTTTGTAATTTTTGTTTGTTGTCTAAGAATCATTATCAAAGCACATAGATCAGTAAGTTTCATTTAGTATCTTTTATTTATTACTACTGTTTCAGTTTTGTGTTATTTGCATTACTAGTGTGAATTGATCATTTCCCTTAAAGGAGAAGTCCGGTCACATTCAGAATATAAACATCAGACTTTAAGTATGAAATTATTCCTTTTAATAATAATAATTGTTTTTAATTAAGAGTAATTCCATTCAATTGGGTCATATGGGGCATCTTGGTTAGCTTTTGTTGNTGCAGTATTTTGCTTCTACTAAACATCAAAAATAATAAAGATATATTACTATATACTAGAAGCAAAGTGTTAACTTACCAGTCTACTCATAAAATTGAGAAAAGAGAATCGGTTTTACATCACCAACAAACTCCTTTCCAAGATCGATTGCTGTTTTTCCTTGTGCACGATCCCTTTCTTATTGTTTTTTTTAGCCTAATCAGAAGGTTTAAACTTTTTCCTTGCCTCAGCCATGAGCAGTAGTTGAGCAGGCGGAAAAATAGTTGAGCTAAAGCCTTAGCTCCATGACTATATATAAGAGCCTGTGGAAGTAAAGCGATATGTTCTTCCAGGTCACATGACCTGGCCAACGACGGTGTGTCTTCTCACAACTTACATAGTGGGTATTTTAAGAGGAGAGCCCGGCTTGTAGCATTGATGGTGTCAAGCGCTACATATTGGCCTGAGGAATTATTTAAAATAACTCATATACGTCAACTCTTTAGGTCACAAAGTCTGAGGTGTACCTATAAAGGGGGGCTATGTAAACTTTGAAACTCAACTGTAAATGTTCTGATCAGTTGGTACCAATTGCAGTATTTCATGTGTTTATGTGATGGAAAAATTAAACTGCACATCACCCTAAACATTACTATCCTAATCACGAAACATGATGGTGATAACCATATATGCGAAGATTCTTCAGAAGGGGTGGAAAGCCAGTCAACTTGATGGAAAGATGACCAACATGATTCAGGCAGGGGCTGAATGCAAAAAAATAGCATACATTTTAGACTGCCTTTGAATAGAACATGAAAACCACAAACACTTTTTCTTCCTTTTTAATATTATGAAGCACATTGTGTGTCTTTAAAACACACAATTCAAATAAAATAAATTGACAAAACTTTGTAAAAGCTGACAAAATATAAAGACTGAGATTTACACCTTAAATACAAATTTTAAATTAAGATCTATATTTTGTAAGTGCATACGTTTTTACCTAAAATGAACTCAGAAACTTTTCTTCCTTTGCCGCTTGCTTCTAGCATTATGGGAAAATATTACTCATGTCTTTCATATTTCATACCTACACAACACTAATCTCCTTCTTCCCCTTCACCCCTGTTATACCATGAATGCTCTCATATTGTTTTTCAACCGTCTATTGAGCATCCAGCTAAGTACACACACACACACAGTATTGGCTTTTCTTCGTCTCATGACTAGTTCCTGAAATCCTATTGTTCTAAATATATGAAAACTATATTAATTCTAATACTGTCTTACTAGTTATTAGTATTTCTTTTCATGATGGTTAGACTATTTGATTATATGTTACTATTGAGGAGATTCTGATGCAGTCCAATAAGAAGTAGCTTTCATATGAATCAGTTTATTGCACAGTTTAGGCTACAAATAAATGTTTACCAGTATAAAATCCTATTTTTTTTGACAGAATAATGCAAGATAAATAATATATCAATATTCAGTCTGTATGTAACGAGTTTCACTTCTTTGCTAACCCCTTGAGCCAGAATAAATAGTAATACGTTCATCCATAGACGAGGTGTTTTATTGAGTCTAGTTAGTCCAGTTCAGGGTCAGAGAGAAATTCCACTCTGTTTAAACATGTAATGCGATAAATTGCATTTAAGTACAAAAAAAATAAAAAAAATAAAAATTGCACATTACCTATATTCTTTTTTTTCCTCTTCTCAGCATCATAAAATTTGCTTTTCAGACAGATTGAAAATTTCAATTAGGAAACATTATTTATATAAACAATATTAACAAATATTAATTTATTTGTTTACTTAAGCTTCTCTTTATATAAGGTTCTGAAATTAATTGTTAATTTTAATGTTTAATTAGTTTAATGATACGAAAACTATTTAATAATAGAATTGTAATTATCTAATTTATAAGCCTGTTTAACATCCTAATTGAAAGGTCACATATCAAATAGCAGATGCCTGTTTACATTCTCTGTTATCACGGAAACAACAAAACAGTCTTTAATCAGAGGTAACCGGAGTTTGGCTCATTTTTTCCCAAAGACGTTTCAATGCTGATTCAGGAGTCTTTGTCAATTATTTTAGGCTCGCGCTTATATAGAGGAACTTAGTAATTGTGGCAACATTTACCTTTGCATTCTCGCCATCTGGTGGTATAATAGAGAATTACAGCTACCCTATTGATAATTGAAACAATTACAAAAAGTTGTTCTATAATTGTATTATTGTATTATCATTAATGATAATAATGATGATGATGACAATAATAATAATTAACAAGGAACAATTCATGATTAATAATTAACACAATTCATATAATCTAAATCTAAAACATAATATTGTACCATAAAAGCAATTGCTCACAGAAAGCCGATCACACCAAAAAGTTGTTAACTAATGAAGCCTGGTGAAAGAATTTAACTTACATATTTATCTATTCATATTATATTAATTTAACAAGTGATTTATTGAATGACTTGTAGCTGTGACTTTTCTCTGGCAATTATAATTCTGAAACTAAACAAATTTGCACTTTTACAACCTTTTAAATATGTCTAAAATATTAAGTGTGGGTACAAAATTGCACCATGATATTTCACCTTATTCAATTATTAAATTGTAATATACAGTATTATAGCCTGGTTCTTTTAATGCAGTACTTCCACAGTTAGGAAAAGCAAACTGACACTTTTAAAAGTGAGAACAAATGTTTTATAGACTCTACATAGGCCTATTTATGCTTCTCTGTTTTTATTGATTATTCATCAAACAAAAACTATAGACATGCAGCGATAATACTTGTGTTTTAAGGTGAAACAATATCACATAAACACAAATATCTTAGGTGGGAACATTTTAGTCTGCAACCTTTAATACAGTACAACAAAACTGCTATGAGACCTACCAGAAATTGAAAATCAGTGGGGAAATAACGCCCTCCAGTGGGCATTGAGTAGCAGCTCGTATTCCCTGCCAGAAAACAGTGTTTTGTAGATTAAAGGCAAATGTCAGACATTAATTATCTTACATCCCTTAAAGATGTATAGCATGTTAATCATAAAACAGGACTTTGTAATAAAGTTTTTAAATAAATTGCAGTCTTGGAAGCATGTAGCTGTAGGACTATCAGGAATAATATTTTGAATTATTTACTGTCACGAAATGTCAGTGCAGAAAGATCGAAGCTTTCTATCCATCTGACATTATTTTCCAAGGCTTTGAAACACATTCAGAGAATGCCCTATGGTTGTCAGAGTTTTGACAATGAAGCTGTTCACTGAGGCGGTCAGGCTCAAGCAAGCTCCAGATTAACCCAGTGGTCTGTGCTGGCTCAGTTAGAGGCAGTAGATCTTAAGGATAATCTCTGTTGCTGAAGTTTAAAATCTAAGCTTTGTTGAGCAGAAGGTCAGGAGAAAGGTTAAAATCCATTTTTCGCCTTGAAAAAGCTCTCTTTTCTCTTTTTCCCACCACCAGCTTATTTGTCTTATTCCATGGCTAGAGCTGTTGTCTTTAATTTGCAGAAAAGATAAGAAAGCTTCCCAATATTCATTACAACTGTGACTGTCATTGCGTATAAATCAAATTAGGAATTGATAAATACTGAACAGATGTACTTAATTAATAAGACTAAAATTTAGCTTTGCTTAAATCAATGAGCTACAAGAGAAATAATAATTCTTTAACTTTTCATAAAGGGTTGTATCCTGTAACTGTTATATAATCAGTAAGGTCTGTTGAGAACACAGTCTGATTTTGCCATTTTTATAGACAGCCTTTTCAAAAGGCAGTGTACAGTGTACCCCTTGGCTCTTTCAAATGTTGGCACGCTTGTTGTTAACATATTTACGTTTATACTAAGTCTATAGGTGCACCAAAATCTCTTCTCAAGAAGAGAAGCTTTTGTACGACAGAGTATTAGG